TACTTCCAGTTCATGAAGAATGTCATCGATTCCCACGGATTCAAAGAATTGCTCACTAATTGTGATTCATTTGGTACGGCAGCCGACGCCACGAAGACTGCCCTCCCAGGTATGGGTGCAACCAGTTTTGATGTTTGAGTTATTTTTGATGTTTTGATTTTATTATTCAAAATACTAGTTATTTTTAACATAATTTTCATATACCATTACTATCAGTATCACTAAAAAAGTGTGTTATTTATTATGCTATTTACAAAATACTAACAAAAATCTCATTTTTAAAAACATTTGATTATTTATAACTCGTTTTTATGTTCAGGCGTTTTAGAGACCGATAACTTTCAGTCCGATTCCCTGAACCTATTAACTAAACTACGCGCAGCGCAGCCTAATAAGCCCCTGTATGTGTCCGAGTTCTGGCCAGGGTGGTACGACCAATGGGGAGATGACAAACACCACACCTATGATGTTAACTTTTTTGAGAAGGAGATCACCGATGTACTGTTCAAGGCCAATTCATCGGTTAATTTCTACATGTTTTTCGGTGGCACTAACTTTGGGTTTATGAACGGGGATACTGTGGTCACTAGTTATGATTATGACGCACCACTATCTGAGACAGGTATGTTTTTATTTGGGATGTGTTATGAAAATTATTAATAATTCTTATGTATTTTAAGGCAATTATACCGCAAAGTATTGGAAAACTANTTTATTTGGGATGTGTTATGAAAATTATTAATAATTCTTATGTATTTTAAGGCAATTATACCGCAAAGTATTGGAAAACTAAGGAATTGATTGAGAAGTTCACGAAAGAGAGAGGTTTACCACAACTATTGATACCTAAACCCCCGGTCGTGTCGCTAACCACTGGTTACGGGAAACTCAAAGTTAAGGATTACTTGAGTTTAGAGGACGTGTTGACCAAAATCAAGCCAATCGTCACCGAAAAGCCACAACACATGGAGTTCTTGAATATTGGCTCAAATTATGGACAAAATTTTGGTTTCATTCTCTATAGACTCGCAAATGTTAATAAGTTTAAGCATTTGAAACTCACGGGTAATTCAACCCATTATAATTAAATTAAGTTAATTATTACTTATAAATATTGGGAATAAAAATAGGTGGTGCCTCTGATCGAGGAGTCATACTCGTAGACCACAAAGAGGTCGGTGTTGTCGACAACAATAAAGACTATAATCAGGACTTAATTGACACACAATTTGCAAACACAACGACTCATACGTTGGATATAATCGTCGAAAACACGGGTCGAGCGAAGATTGGGGACGGGATTAATACCGCCCGAAAAGGTCTTAACGGCGATATCAGTATCGATACAAAAGTTGCCACAAATATTGTCTGTAAAGGCGAACTTAAGTTTCTTGGTAAACAATTTGTTAACAGACTTAACTTCCCTTTCGGAAAGTAACTTCCGTAGTTTTCAGGTCGGCAAATAGCCAAACTTAACCTATAATTCCTGTCAGCGAGGGATACATTCATACGACTGGACGGTTGGGTGAAGGGAAATATATTCATCAATGGTTTCAATATAGGCCGGTATTACCACATCGGACCCCAACAAACACTTTATATCCCTGCACCGTTACTAAAAACGGGAAAAAATGATATATTAGTGTTTGAATTACATTCCGCCACCGATTCGGTTGACTTCACGGATACACCGGTTTTGGGTTAAATTAAACCTTCATTTAATTGACAGGAATTTTGATATTCTTTTGACTTTATGTTAAAAATATATGATTTTATATTGTGTTAAATGATTTTGGACAACGTTATTACTTATTATGTTAAAACATGTGATGTTCGTTAAAACATTTGATGTCCGTTTTGTCACCTTTATTCGATACTAATTTTATTATCGTATCAAATAAATATTGTTTTAAAATTTAAATATATAAAATTCAAACAAGACTTACATTCATTTCAAAACTGTTGAGAGTTTTTTTTACAGTAATTAACATGTATTTCAAAATGTATTCATTTGTATCGCTTCTGACAGGTATAGACCATAAAACCATTGAATTTGTTAATCAATTGTCTCACTAATCCCTATATCATTGTCAGTCTTAGTCTCATTGTTATCACAACTCCCTGTCCATCAAACCATTGGTGACTTTTGCCGACAATTCAAAGACAATTCATATGAAATAGACTATAGTTTTCAGCGCTTATACAGCGATAACCAAACCATAAGATCTTATTTATCGCTAATTATTGGCCAAAACTATTGGTTCGTCGGCTTTAACGAAACTATAGTTTTCAGCGCTTATACAGCGATAACCAAACCATAAGATCTTATTTATCGCTAATTATTGGCCAAAACTATTGGTTCGTCGGCTTTAACGACAAAACAGATCCGGTTTTGCAAACAAATAGTTATCAAAGCGATTGGTTTGGCAAACGATACACCACTGGGTTTAGCGTCCAATACAACAAACAGTACTTCTATGCACTCTATAAGGTATCCCAAAAATTATCATTCATTTAATTTCATAGACTTTAAATCACTGCTAATCTATGAATAAGATTTTTAATCATATAATCTATACTAAAATTATTGATAACTTAAACACAAGCTTTGATTCACACGTATTTAAAACCAGTGATACCTTAACATTAAGATTACTTGAAATTCTTATAAGTTTTGCATTTTATACATACATTCAAAATATAATTTTAATACCAAACCACTCATACCTCCCAACCCTATTAGCCCAGTGACCAGACTCTAGATTGGGGGCAATTCCGTGACGGCGCCTATAGTTTGACAAACACTGACCGATCGTTTGAAAAGCCGTTGAACTTAACGTTAGGTCCGGGATTCACACCCACCGTCAGTATCATCGCACCGTTAGGCCAATCGATTATCTGCCTCTTAAGCCAAGAGGTGATGGCGTTCACCGACGTGTTCGCCAAAAACTACCGGTGCTTTCACTTCACGACACTCACCTACTTTACAGAGACCACAAACACCACTCTCAACGACATTCACCGCGTATTTGACGGCAAAGTGAACGCCGAGAGCCCACACAAAATGCTGGCCGTATTCGGACCCTTTGACGAGCACCGGTACCTAATGTTATACAAACTAGACTACAATATCTACTCGTGTTGGGTGCCGGCGTCCCACGTGTTTGGCGATGTATGTCATGTCATAATAACTTGTATTTACAGAATATTCTGTAATTATTTTTCTGAATTCAGTGCCAGAATTTAACACAACACTTGTTAATAAGTTGTAAACCCGTGCTATGGATCCCACTGTTATCTAGTTTATCCGTGACTAACCTGGACACTCTCTACGCCATCTGTTATCTCGTGATAGGGCTGTCCATTATACTGACAACTCTTGTGGTATTTATGATGTATTTAGTGTACTCGATAGACATATCGTCGCCCCATAAAAAGGTTAAGCGAGCAAAGAGTCCCCAATCACCTCCAGGTGCTCACAAACCCCGGTCACCGATCGCCCTTAATAAAAGGCTTGACCTGGAGCCAGATATAGGCGCTAAGAAAGCTGTACACAAACGTCCCCGGGCTCCCAAATCCAGGTCACCGATCGCTGTTAATAAAAGGCATGACTTGTCGTCAAATATAGGCGCTAAGAAAGCTGCAGAAAAACCTACCGGTGCTGTGACACCGCCGAACAGTAGTGTCAATACGCCCGACGAGTCATCCCCATATAATAATATGACGACCGGTACTATCAAATCTTTAGCTTTTTAATAGTTATTTATAGTTTTATATATTTGTCTGCATATGCATTGAATGCATTTTTGTATTTTATATTAAAAACACCTTAATTTGTAACCAAAACCTAATTAAACTTAAATTCAGTGTAAAATAATATGTAGTTTTGATTATTTGTTTCAAAAAAGTGTTATATTTCTCCAGTTTTCTAAAGTATATCTGTTTTCATATTCTGTAAGACTTTTGAATAGCATTCCTTAGATTAGTTACAAAAGTAAAAATGAATTCCTAGATTTCAATAAAAACGAAAACTTGATTTTGTATTTGAGTTTAATATTGAATTTTATTTAACATAAAGTTTTTGATTACAATTTTTATACAAAGAAATAAGTGTCAGATTTCTAATCATATAATTTTGATGCAAAACCAGAAACTGTTGGATCCATTGAAATGAGTTTTACGGATAATATTTGATACAACAGTAAACGACAACTGCGCCCACAGTTATGCCCAAAAAGAATGGGAGCACAGCTTTGGCACAACCACTGGGCCTACAGGTGCTCTCAACGGGCTCTCCGGCCAAGGAGTCTACGGACTTATCCTTTTCAGACGGATCCATGGGTTTGGGCTTTTTCTTGAACCAGTTGTGCATATAATGATCACTTGATTTTAATTGGTTTTGATTTTGAAATTTGTTTTTACAAGTGTATGGAAATGGATATCAAATGTTTTGCTCACTATTTGTGACACTTTTGTGTTTTGTCTCATAAACCAGTAAATCAGTTGTGATTTGAATTTTGTTTTTTGACAAGAACATTTTAGTGATGTAAAGGATTGATTGCAATTTGAAGAATAATAGCGTTAAGGCATTGATTGTTACGATTGTGAATATAATTGTCAATTGCTTTATATATTAGTTAAAAATAAGGATTCAAAATCTGAATTTTAAGCGGATTTTGATGTCAGCCGTGAATTAGTTTTATAAAACAAATCTATCAGAAAAATTACTGATTCCATGAATTTAATTATAGACATTCTGATTGGTATTAATAGTGATTATAATTCTGTATGAATTCCTAAAACTAATTAACGATACAATTCATGCCTACAGTTATCGCATGTTTGTCGCGATTCTTGGTCTGCGAATCAATGCAAGACTTTTGTCATTCATATGAACAGAATTCACAGAGAATTGACTCAACCTTTCAGTTGGGATGGTATCGGAAGGGAGATCCCATTCACGCGTATTTGATAATAGGGCACAAGTATTGGGAACTGACGGCAAACTGGAAGTCAAACAAAAGTGATGACAAAACTATGGCTTTAAAACTCAAATTGAATGCAATCTCAGCAGAGAATCAATGGTTTGACAGTAAATACAGGACTGGTTTCGCTGTCAGACACAACTCAACGAAAGCCTATTTATTTGTGTTCAACCAAATGGTCACCACTTATTCATACGGACTCTTAAATGTATGAATTACTTTTGATTTAGAGTTAATTTGGTTGTAATTTTAACTACCATTCAATATACAGATAATTAAATTTACAAACCATTGACTAATTTTAAAAACTATAAGCCATGCAATCAACTCTTTTATTTCCCCCGACTATAAGCCGTCGACAAATACCATCGATTGGCAGGTGATGTACGACAACACCGACGACATCCAGACCATCGGATCCCAGTATTTCAAACATCCGGAAACTCGTATCACATTTGAGGACCAATTCAAACCGATCGCCAACTTTAAGGTTCACGATATGCCGGATGTCATGTGTTTTGTGGGCCAACAACAGTCCGCTACAGATAAGCCGTTTAATCTACGCTACCGATGCTATCAGTTCAGTAATGTGTCAAATGGACTGAAGGCGAAGGAGTATACCCGCGAGACTGGGGAACAGTACCCAAAAGGGTTTGCCACCTATACCAAAGAGACGGGTAAAAGGGTCCAGTTTATTGAACAGTCCACGAGTCAGTACGAACTGATTGGCATGTTTGGACCTTGGTTCAATACGCATTATGGGCTACTATTCAAGGAGGGAGTCACCATTTCATACTGTATTACGAGCCCTAATTATACCCAGGTATTAGTATTTTATTATTTTAACAGTCTTAAATGTTTTTGTGTTAATTAAATGTGTGTGTAGTGTGAACAACCTAAAACAGCCCTGATCACATGTTCCGATAGTAGCAGTCTATTTGGTGGTAATGTCAATATACTCAAAGGTGGTGGTAATACAGGTGTGTATGTATCCCTGGTCATTGGCATATTGCTTGTCATAATGATAGTGGCATCAGTGGTAGTTTATGGGGTAATTCGTCTAAAATCAGATAATAAGTCTCAAAAGGTCCTGGACAATATAAACACAACAAAATCAATCAAATCGTTATCAGATTTAGATGTTAAGCCGAAATCAAGCAAATCTCCGGCAATACAACAAATACCAAGCGTTTCCCCAAAATGAAAACGTGTTCACAAACTACTAAATTATATGATTTTTATGATAGATTTTGTATTATTATATATACATTGTGTTATTAGAATTATTCAATTTATTTATCTAATTTACTACTGTAATAAAAAAGTTTTGTTATCATTTGTTTTAGAGATTAAATATGACATGAAATAACTCTTTAGACTTAGTGTTTATTTAATGCTATTTATTAGATCTGAATACTCGAGTAATCTTAAAGTCATTTTAAAATCTACTCTTAGAAAAATTGAAAGTTTAATACAAATACAATAAGAAAGTAATACAGTACTAATAAATTATTACTAATAATAACAAAAATCTTATATAATCTCAAATTAAAATGCATACATAAATTTAGCGACTTTATCAACGTTAACTAGATTTAAAATTTACAATTTACAATTTATAAATTACAAATAAAACTACAAATAAATAATTGCAAAATAAAATAAAAGGTTTTCATTTAAACGGTTGACACCATTGGTTGTGTGGACTTCTTTTGTTTAGCCATGAATTTGATGGGAAATATGATAAGCAGGACAACCACTAGAATAACTACCACTCCTATAATAACTCCTATAATAAGTCCAATACTAGACTCATCACTAGATTTTGAAGTGTTGTGTCCAATACCCGGCTCATTACCAGACTCTATAGGGTTTTGTTGTGAGAGATAAATATCACTGGAATCGCAACTTATGAGCAAACCATAGGTGCCGTCACCGCACTAATGATAAATACAATTGTATTTAATTTATAATTCAATAAGTTTTTCACATATTTCTTACATTTTCAACGAAAACTGAAGACTTTGTGTAACAGAATCTGATATCCTTGTGATCATAGTATAGCACAACATATTGGGGGTCATTATATGGTCCAAACATAGCCAGCACTTTGTACGGACTTTCAGTGTAAGTCACCGATACCTTAGTTGTGATCTTATTAAGCCTTTTGATTGGTCCCCAATCGATGATTGCTTGGTCTGACTAAACGTAAAATTGAAAAAACTTGTGATAAGTATAGTATATCTGTAAATGATATGTGATTTACATGTAATAGTCCGCAGATTGTATTTCCCTCGGAATCTACACAAAATTCAGTGGAGTATACATTTGCAGACCAATCGCTTGTATCGCTAATTGTATGGAAAGTATCCTTATTGTCATTCAAGTTGTAAATCCAATACTCGTGTCCAATACCTAATGCCAAGTAGTGTGTGTTAACTTGTGTAGTGGTGTTCACGAATATTCTGTAGAAACTAAAGTCTAATTTATAGGAATTCTGTTCAAAGGAATCGCAGAATTCTTCGCTCATTTGTATGCAACGGAAATGTCATATAAAGACAATTACTAATGAAATGAAATGGAAATTTTAGTATCGTTTTAGGGTATACAGTATACTACCTGTCCATGTGATAACAAATGGTGGGCTATAAAAGTGTCTCATTATGTGTTTGTGAAATGAATTCCAATGGAAATTAACTATTTGTAAAATAAAAACTGATAATTTTTGAATCAGAATTATTTTTAGAAATGTACTTTGTATATAAGTCTCGAGATATTAACCCCAACTTTATAAAAATTGTTTTGAGTTTCTGATTCATGTTTTTGGGATTACAGTAGTAACTAATCATTAGTTTAATAATGAAAATGACAATAAATGGTTTATATGCAAAACAATACCAATTGGACTCGATTTTCAAATCAAATTGGTTTGAAACATACCGGTGCTGTTACAAACTTATGACTTCTGTGCCTTGAAGTCAATAAGAATTGTAAAAATTTATATTTTTTGTTTTGTTTTAGCTAGCACAGTTTTCAAATAAAGGTCGACGCCCGTACTTTTGCACCAATATAATATTACCACAGATATTGCCGCATCATATTGATGTAGTATTTATTATAAACAACAAAACAAACAATTGTAATATTTTAGAAGGAATTTACCATATTTGCAAATTTATTATAAAATATATCAAATTTGAATAATTGCTAGAAATTACAAAAAGTTTTTTCATTTTAAATGCTTATCGGCTGAATAGACATAGTTTTAGATTACAATCTTTTTTCGGACAGACTTTGACTCAGCTTTTGATCGGAAATGAGTTTTAGTTATAGGAGGAGATCTCGTGGCTTTACTGTTGACAGACTTGAGGGTGACTATGGATATATCATCTAGTTTATTTCCATGACTTATTGATTGACTAATTGTGTACTCTCTTTGTTTATCCATGAATTTGATAATAAATATAATAAATAGTATGACCGCCAGAATGACCACCACTACTATGAAGGCTATAATAAATATTACAATAATCGCCTTATAATCCGATTCCGTAGTGTCTGTAGGACTGGGACCGCAGCTAATGAGCAAACCATGGGTGCCGTCAACGCACTAATGATAGACACAATTGAAGTCATAATTATTGATCAAACATTTTAGACATAATATTTACTCCTCTGGAAAAAACCGGAAGCTTTGTGTAACAGAATCTGATATTCTTGTGCTCATAGTATAGGACTGCATATCCGACTGAAGTGAACGGACCAAACATAGCCAGCACTTCGTACGGACTTTCGACGTCAGTTACCGACACATCGGATGTGATCTTATTATTAGTTTTGATGACATTTACCAACAATTTAGTGACGTCTACCGGCGGGGATCCCTCAATGAACTGATAGCACCGGTAGATTTGTTTGAATGCTTTTGCGGCCCGTTGTTGACTCATAAAACACACGGTGTCTACTCGTCTCGTCCCAAAAGTGACCGTCGGTTTGAAGTCAATCGTGAAGTTTATGGACGTCTGTTGAGTGGACTGTCGCTCGGATTTACCAAATATATTGTCATTCATCTCATCAAATACTCCCCAATCGATGGTCGAGTTGTTTGACTGAATGTAAAAACTTATTAAAAAGTATTTCTAACTTAATATGTTGTGAACTATACATCCAATAGCCCCGAGACTGTCTTATTAGGGTATTGTACGGAGAATCCGGTGGAGTATCGCTTCCCAAACCAATCGCTTTCGTGACTAATCCTAAGGAAAGTATCGTTAGTGTCGCCTAAAGTGTAGAGCCAGTAGTCGTGTCCCATAACTAATGCTAATTTAGTCCTTATTAGTCGGTAGAAACTGTAGTCTATTTTATATGAATTGCTTGCAAAGGTATCGCAGAAATCTTTGCCCATTTCTATGTAACGGATATGCGATATAAAGACAATTGCTTTTGAAATTTAATTTAATTAAAAGGTTTAGTTAGCAATTATCACCAAATAATGTCATACGTATTGAATACCTGTGTAAATGATGATAAAGGATTGCATTTTGTTTGCTATTTATTTGTGGTTATAATAGGAGTAATGATCAGAAATTCAATGAAATTATAAACTAATCGTTTATTTGTTTGAAATTCAAATTAATGTTTTTAATTGCATTGATCTCGAGATATAAGCAAAATGCAAAAATAAATTAGAAATTGTTTTGAGATATAAATAAAATTTATTATTATAGTATACTTTCTATACTTTTAAACCATTTCTCTGATAATTATAAGTCATTGAAAACTTTAAAAACTTATTTTAGCTTTGGGTGGTGGTGGGGAGTAGAGTGGTGTAGCGGTTAGAGTGTCGCACTAATAATAGCTAAGTTAAAGTAAATCAATAGGAAGGGGACATAAGATCGCTTCCCAAGCGGGGAAAAGTTATTTTTTATTAAAAGTTTTTAAAAAGTTTTCAAATACTTTACATATATTCCCATTATATTCAACGGTATTATTAAAATTGTTAATAAGTTAAGAATTAAATCTAAAATCTCTTACAATGAATCGATGGTATCACGAGTTAAGGGATTGTTTTCAATAACTTATTTTATTAATCAGTGAAAGGTATCAAAAATAAGAGATCAGGGCTTAAGAGATGGTAACAGATATTGAAAAATGTATTAAATAATGACTAAATTTATCACGAGTTATACAGAGTACAACAAAATTTGAGTTAATAATTTTACATAATAGACAAATGACTAAATTTATTTGGTATACAACTGTAAAACAAATTATACAAATGTAACAAAACTTTTTATTAGTAAATTAATTGTAATTCAATTTTTTGAAAATAAAATTTAGATAAATAATTCAAATCATACAATGTATACCGTATATAATACTACAAAATCTATCATAAAAATCATATAATTTAGTAGTTTGTGAACACGTTTTCATTTTGGGGAAACACTTGGTATTTGTTGTATTGCCGGAGATTTGCTTGATTTCGGCTTAACATTTAAATCCGATAACGATTTCATTGATTTTGTTGTGTTTATATTGTCCGGGACCTTTTGAGACTTAACTGATTTTATGCGAATTACCCCATAAACTACCACTGATGCCACTATCATTATGACAAGCAATATGCCAATGACCAGGGATACATACACACCTGTATTACCACCACCTTTGAGTATATTGACATTACCACCAAATAGAC